CACTCTGGTGTTTGCTCCCAAAAAAGGACATCCTTCTCTATAATCAGCATACAACATTGGTACAAACTAATGTTAATTCATAGACTCCATTCAAATTTTGCTAACCATCCCCACAGTTTCTCCAGTCTTTTGGTCTGGAATCTTATCTAGGAATATAGGCTGCATTTAGTTGTCATTTATGTTCTGTCTCAATGTGAGTAGGAACCACATCAGTAGTCACTTCATGATAAATCAATAAGCTGTGTGCATTGTTCTCTGTGTGTATTTCATAATAAAATGCTAATTTTTGAATAAAACATTTATTTTAAATAGAAAGCTAATGACATTCATACATTTCAAAGATAGCATTTGCTCCCAGAATTCAAATGTATATTAAAATCAAGTTTCTTTAAGGCTTTGAAAGTTCAACTAATTTTGAAGCAGTAAACAAAGAATGAAAAATCACCTTACCAAGTAACAGATGCAAAGGGAGACCCAGGCCTCTGAAAGTAGATTTTTATTAGGGCACTTACCAACATAGCACATACCACAAAAATTTTATCCTTCTCCAAATGTATATCATTATTTTAAAACTAGAGGCCCAGTGCACAAAATTCATGCACAGGAGTGGAGGATGTTCCTAAGCCTAGCTTGCACCCTCTCCAATCAGGGACCCCTAGAGGAATGTCTGATTGCCTGTTTAGGCCCGATCTTGGTGAGCAGTGAGACACCTCTCTCACAATCCAGGACTGCTGGCTCCCAACTGCTTGCCTACCTGCCTTCCTGATTGCCCCTAATTGCTTCTGCCTGCCAGCCTGATCAATCCCTAACCACTCCCCTGCCAGCCTGATCAACACCTAACTGCTCTCCTACCAGCCTGATTGCCCCTAACAGCCCTCCCCTGCAGTCCTGGTCCCCCCCAACTGCCCTCCCCTGTAGACCTGGTCCCCACCCCCAACTGTCCTCCTCTGCTGGCCCGATCATCCCTAACTGCCCTCCCCTGCAGGCCTGATTGCCTCCAACTACCCTCTCTAGCTGGCCTGATTGCCTACAACTTCCCTCTCCTGATGGCCATATGTGTCCATATGGGGGCAGCCATCTTTGACCACATGGGGGTGGCCATCTTGTGTGTTGGAGTGACAGTCAATTTGCATATTGCCTCTATTATATAGGATGGTATAATTGTTATCATTTTAAATTTAAAAAGCTATACATTTATCCACCTGGTGTGGCTCAGTGGTTGAGCATTAACCTATGAACCAGGAGGTCACAGTTCTATTCCTGGTCAGGGCATATGCCCAGGTTGAGGGCTAGATCCCCAGTGTGGGGCTTGCAGGAGGCAGCCAATCAATGATTCTCTCTCATCATTGATGTTTCCATCTTTCTTTACCTTTACCTTCCTTTCTGAAATCAACACAAATATATTTTTAAAATAAAAAGCTATACATTTACATTAATATTTTAATTAAAGATTTTAGTTGAAGATGTAAAAAATGACAGACTACATTCATGAGAGAGACATATTGCTAGATCAATCTATTCTAACATAACTGATTTAAAAAAAATTTTTTTTTTTTTACCAAGAAGTCAGAAGTGGAATTTTCTAGTGACCCTGGTAACTGCTCTTACAAATAATTTCAAACAAATTTTTTTGGAGATAGGAGCTTCTGGAAAGTCCACTTTGATGGATTGGTAGAGAGAGCTGGGGAATCATCTGGCTCAATGATTTGCCTGTTGCCACAGCAAGAACACAGAGCGCAGGGCCTGGCACACACCAGATGTGCACGTGTGTGAACATAATGTATACCCACTTGCTGAGACTTGGACTGTGAACTGAGAAAAAAGCTGATGCCAACCCTAAAATTAGACATGGTTTTCTGGAAGTTCTAGGCATTTGGCATATTCATATGCCTTAATTATGCAGACCCACTTTCAGGGTTACCTTTGGCTCAAGTTGATATGAGGTGCCAAATAGCACCAATGGCTTTTTCTTCTATCCTGAAATGTATTTTTTTAACCTATAAATGTAATGGCTTACCAAAGGGAAATATGCCCTTTGCAAGAAGCTGACCTATAACAAGAGGTCTTGCATGGATTTTTATCTCTGTTCTTTAATCTGCACACCTCTACTCCTCACCCCAACCACAGTATTCTAGAAAATCGCTTGTTAACAATATTTCAAAGGTGAAACCCACCCTGGAGATCACTTCTCCCTTTTTTAGATTATGGAACTGCAACCATGTGGGGACAAACCAAGGTCATCACAATCCTGATAACTTGGAGCCTAGTAGCTGGGGGTTTTCACTCTCGTTCAATGTTCTTTCACCTCCAATATTTTCAGTTTAAAAGAAGGAAGGAGGAAGCCTTCTTCAAGGCCACCTTCAGCCATGGATCTTGCCGGCATTGTGCCCAAACAGCATACTTTGGCAACCACGGATTTCATTAGCTTGTAATTGTGGAATTAGAAAGAACCGTCCTCACATGGAACCTGGACTGCAGAACGACTTGGAATGTTTAAAATATTTAAGAAAGAAAATAAAACAAAACACGCCATTAGCATATGCTTTCAATGATTCACCCCAATATAATTTATGTACAGTTCTAATTCTGCTATCTCACATCTGCGATTTCAAAACAACCCTGGCCGGCGAGGGGAAACTGGGAAACAAGGGGAGGAAAAGGCCAGCAGGGGTTCCGGGGGTGGGGTGCGCGTTGCCAACGCCGAGGAGAGACTAGCCAGCCGGGAGTCCGGAGGCGGGCGCTCTGATTGCGCTCCAGAGTCGGGGGCGGCTGCTCTCCGCACCCCACTTTCACTTTGCTCTATTTAGCCCTTTAGTGCTGCTCGGTCCCACCCTTAACGCCCCAAGATCGGGATGACAGGGAATAGAGGGGGAATCCCAGGACATTCAGAAAACTACGTTTAGAAAGATCCAGAGTGGGTGGGTGAGCCGGAGGAAGTCAAGTGTGTTAAGGGTAAAAAGAAAAAAAAATCTTAAACCGCTCTCAACCCTTGGCTCTGCAAGGGTGGAACCCGCACCTCAGCGTCCGGCGAAGGAGGGGAAAGCTGCGCGGGCCTTGACGACTCCGAGGGGCGCAGCCGAGAGGTGGGCGGCACCCGCGGTGCGACTCCTTCGAGGCCCCGCCCGTCGGACCAGCCTCCTCCCGGCCATTGGAGGGCGCCGGGGGCGGGTCGGAGGGACACCCCCCTCTCGCCACCTGCCCCCACCCGTCCCCTGCCCGCCTACGTTTGGGGCTTTTCCTGAAGCCTCTGGAGCCAGGAAAGGAAACACCCAGGGCTGCCACAAAGCCCCCTAGATGCTGGAAAGGCAAGGCCCCCCTCTACAGCCTGCCCCCCCAGCGTTCTGGTGACGTCACTAAGTGGGGCTACGCGGTTGCGTCCCTGTCCCTGGCCCCCACCTCTGGGTCTGCGGCTTCCTTGGGGCTTGGGGGAAGGGTCCCCATTCTGTTCACACGCCCCGCCTGGCAAAGTGCTGCGGTCTGTGCGCTCCCCTTTCGCCCCATCACTCCCCACAGCTTGTCCCACCCCTTATTTTATTTTGCACTTCCTATCCTGTTCGTTATCTGTGCGCCCCCCCCCCCCAGGGCTCTGTGTGTTGGCCACCAGGAGGTGGGCGCGCTGGTGGCGTGCAGCCGGCAGAAGTAAATTCGTTTTGCTATCTCCTTAATCCGTTTGCATTTTCTATGGATCATTTGATACCTTGTTGTTTTCTAGTGTATTCTTGGAAGATTTTGGAGTCGTTTTCGTGTGTGTGTGTGTGTGTGTGTGTGTGTGTGTGTGTGTGTGTGTTTCTCATAACAACGGGGCTTAAAGTTGGCCGACGCCTTCTTTAGTATTTCATTAATTAAAGAAGCTAGGTTTTAGGCTTTTCTTGGTGTTGAAGAATGAAAGGAAACCAAAGCCTAACAGCGTTTAGAAAGAAAATAGCCCTGCTTATTTTTCATTCTCAACTCGAGCTGTCGTGGACAGCACCGTGCACAGAGCACAGGCACAGCGGCAGGAGCCCTTCGTTGCAGCCCAGGCTCCGTCTCCCCGGGCTTTGTGCCCCAGCACCAAACGACACTGCAGGTGTGCGGGGCTTGCGTGTGCGTGCGTGAGGTACGCGTGTGGGAGCCCAACAATCCCAAGAGATACATCAGAAAAAAGCCCGCATACTAGAGATTCCTTCGGAAATTTCCCAATGCTCTGAAAATTAGTAAATCTCTAGTATTCGAAATTTGTCTTTGCAGAGGCTCCTTCCTCCGTGCTCTCCCCACCTTCAAAAACAGGTGTCGCTGTGTGTCCTGAAGAGGTCTCTCGCAGGCTCCGGCCCTCTGAGCCGGTGAAGTTCAGAGGACACACTGTGCATGTATTTCGGGGCCCGCACAGGTGCTGACCAAACCCCCAAGGCCTGGGGCATTGTGTGCGGGCAGACACAGGGGGTGCTCAGCTGGGCTCGCGGGCGTGCGCGTGTTTGTGCGTGAGTGTGATCTCAAGCGCTCCAGGCTGCTACCAGAGCTCAGCCGCTGGGCTGGAGAAAAAGAGGGGGTAGGCAAGTGCAGGGGAAGACTGAGAATAAGGGGCAGAGGGGCGCGGAGATTCGAATTAATCCAGCTTGTTAGCTACTTTTCCCTCTGCCTCTCCTCTAAGCCTTACTGCATCGTAGGGAGGGGATTGGATTCGCCGTGGAGCTGGTGGAGAAGGGGGAGCAGGTTGAAACAATCGAGTGGGCGCGTCAGGTACTCCCTGGCTCCAGGCAGGGAAGGGAGGGGGGCTCTCCCATCTCTGCGCTGTAAGGGGGCGGGGTTGGGGGCCCCGGGAACTGCGAGGAGACGCGGTGCCCGCAGGGGTGAGGAATTGGTCACCCCAAGGCAAGATTTCCTTCGGATCGCAAATTAATTGTAGATATGTGATTAATTCCAGCTTCGGATAACTATAAACGGCGATTTTTCTATCAAGGTGTCGCTATTTTTTTTTTAATCATTCCGTGTCATCCCCCACGTCAGGCCTGCTCGTGGGCGTGCGGCTGTGCTTCCTCCGCCCCCTCCTAATGGAGTGAACCATTCCCAGCTCTTCCCCCTCTCTCCTTCAGTCTCTCTCCGTGTGTGTGTGAGTGTGTGTGTGTGTGTGTCTCTCTCTCTTTCTCCCTCTGCTGCTCTCTCTCTCTCTCTTCATTCTCTCCCTCTCTCTCCTCCCTCTGCTTTCCCGGTGCATAAAGTCTCCGTCGCTCCTGGAACTTGTTGGCAATGCCTATTTTTCAGCTTTCCCCCGCGTTCTCTAAACTAACTATTTAAAGGTCTGCGGTCGCAAATGGTTTGACTAAACGTAGGATGGGACTTAAGTTGAACGGCAGATATATTTCACTGATCCTCGCGGTGCAAATAGGTAAGTGGCCGCACAGCCGGACTCGCGCCCGGTAGCAGGAGGCTGCCGGCCGGCCAAGCCCCAGGCATCAAAGGGTCCGACTGGCCCGCAGCGGCCCCGGGGTGCGGAGAAGCCCCAAACCCCCAAGGGTGGGGGCATCAGTTCCTAGGGACTCGCAAGTCCGGGGTTGGGGTTTCTAAAAAAAGGAGAGAGACTTCCCAATGTTATCCAGGAAATGTGAGCATCCAGCCGGTTTAGGAGGGGATTTTTCTCCCGATTTTAACGGAGAACACGTCCATTTTTTTTTTTTCTTCTTCTTCCCTCTCTTGGTTAGATCAGGTTTTTATGTTCTGGGGCAATGCATTGGTCCTTGCGATGTTGCAAGGTATTATTTTGAAGGGTAGAAAGGTGAATGCAGCAACAAGATGGCCAGGCAGCTAGAGCTGGAAAGTTTATGTGCAGAAAACAGATATTCTGGGCCCAGTCTGCTGCATTTAGAACTTTGTCATACTCCCGCCACCCCACCCCCATGCCCTAGCTGCAGCGTTTGCACCGGGCACTGCAGACTGGCTGGGGGTCAGCTTGAGAAGGATGTGGAACCCCAGGGTAGTATTTTAATGTGCTTGTCATTGAGGAGATTGAATACAGCCAAATACATGTGGATATGATTTTCTATAAACATTTGCCTGTTCCTTTCCTCATAGGCATCTGTATTTTACATACAGGAAAGGGTTAAAAAGGGTTTGCAATAGGTTATGTTGGGTGTTTGTTATTTTTTGTCTGTGTGTTTGGGATTGATTACAGATGGATTTATGTAGCCCCCATTTTATGTTAAGGAATGTTGAGTCCTAGTTAGGCTGCCATGGGGTTTTAAAAGTTCACATTTTCCATCCAGAATGAAGTTATGGAAGGGAGTATCAGAAAACCCCCTCCTCTCATGCGGGTCAGAGTATTAATTAAGGTGGCCTAAAAGTGAAAGTGAAGCTGATTGTTAAGAAAACGGGCAAGAGAAAAACAGAAACTCTCCCATTGGGGTTTCTTGTGACAGAATATTGTTGACTTCTATCATTTCAGGCTGTAAATTTCTTTGCAGACAAATCCTTGCAGTATTGGGAGGGGGGAGCTTTAGGGAATTGGTTTAGGGCAATAGATAAAATTAATAATATTTTTCTTCGTGAGAAATGTGAAGGGGACAGAGTTTGGAGTTATCTCTACAATAAAATGGATTCTTTGCAGTGGATTTTATGCATTTGACATGATTTTGAGTATCTATTTTTGGGTTGTTTTTTTTTGCATGAATATTATGGGGATTTTAGAGTGTGGGGATGCAGGCTGTTGGCATTTTCCTTTAATTCTGAGAAATGACTTGATGTTTTGAATCTGGCTGTTTGAATCTTTGACATTAGTGCAGAGAATTGCAATAAATAAAGAATATTCCTAATTGCAGCCAATCCCTAAAATATTGGAAATAAATGAATGTGGAATTTTGAAATTAACCTGCAAATGTTTAGCAGCAGCACCTATTTTAATATGGGGGTTTTATTTGGAGAATGTTTGGTGTGTTTTCCCGGTGGAAAATACCCTATCTCTGTGTTGGGGGTGGGGGGTAAAAAAAGACAGCAATTGTGCATGCAGGGTGCGCTTGGAACACGCCAACTTCAGCCCAAAAATGACCGTTCGTTGGCTGTGGGATTGAAATTGAGCAAATTTGTTCCCGAATGTCTGCCCTTTCCTGCACCAGAGCCTCTCGATCTTTATTAATTCATGTCTGGGAGCTTTCCCAAATCATTGACATTTGGCAAGAAAAGTGGGGGGTTGGGGAGTGAGGGAGAGGAAAGGGTGGTGAACGCAAATTAAGACCCGGCTGGAGGAAGTTTGGAATGAATGAGAGGTCAAACGAATGAATGGACGGATGGAAAGGAGACAAGGTGCAGACACCCTAGAATGGGGGAAGAAGCCCGGCTGGCCGCCCTAGCCTCTCTGAAGTCCGGTTCAGAAACCACTGGGAGGGTCGCGCGGACTGCGACCTGCAAAATGCGTCCCGAGCACAAGCCAGCTAGAAACCAAGAAGTCTAGTTTTCAAAAAAGAAATGTTCACGACTTCTTATTTTACACATGCACATACTCACACATGCGCGGTATGAAGGGTCTTCTCCGGCAGAACCTGGAAAGATAACGTGACCGGAGAGCTTCCCGCCCCCAGCAAAGCCCAGATCCCCTTTAAAATGTTGTCAATACGTTTTAAGGGCTACTTTTTTTGCTCTCGAGTTTTGGGGGTGGAGGTAAAGGATAAGGAGAGTCTGGGATTTGGTGGGAATGGATGGAGTATATTTTATTTCGTGTGTCTTTGCTGCAATGCTGCATCCGTGGCGTGCATTATAAAGGACAACGGGTAGGATTTGTTTCATTGTGATAGTGTTCCTATGAGAACCAACATTCGTTATTCTCTCTCCGTATTCTACTTGATATTGCAGTCGTATGGGCTTTTGACATTTCGCGTGACAGGGGCCAGGGTTGTTTGTCAAGGTTTACCTACAGCCTGAGCCGAGATCGAAGTTAACCTCAGCCCCTTCCCCAGAGCTTCCCTTTCCGGATTAGGGAGCACAAGGCCCGCCTTGCTTCTGCAGCAATTTGCAAACGGGACTCTAGGAGGCAGCTGCAGGTTCTGTCACCTTTCCTCCTCTGCGGCTAGCGGGGCTCAAGGGGACCAGCGGCCGGGGGATGGGAGTGGGGGGTGGGGGAGGTTTGCGGTCCTCCCCCCAGACATTCACACACTAGCCTTAGCGGCTTGAACACTGTCCTGGATGAGGTCGGCGCTCAAGACCTTGGGCATTTTAGGCCAATTTCGATTCTGAGCGGATTCGCCTGTGCTTTCCCCTCCCCTTGCTCCCATGGCGAAGATCGGCGCTTCTTGCACGACCTCCTGGCGCCCGGAGTGTTTTTGGCCTTTCGCCACCGAACGTTTATCCGGGTTCTTTGGCCTTGGTTAGGAGAGAAATGGCCAAGGCAGCGCGTCCGCGGTCTGGAGCCCGTCTCTGCCTCTCTCAGGTCTCGCACCGCAGGGTTTGACCGACCTGAGGCCAGGAGCGTGGGCCTCGAGCGGCCTGGGTCTCCTCCCTCTCCTCCGCCCGAACCGCGTCTCCTCCTGCTGCCCCGCCGCCGCTCTCCCCGCCCCCGCTCTGGAGGGAGTCAGAGCTGGAGGCCCGGAGCCCCCAGCCGCAGCCACCCTGGCCTCCGCCGCAAGCCTGAGCCTGGGGAGGGAAGGTCTCACCCTGCTGCTGGCTGGACTGGTGACCACTGGAGAGGTGGGAGGGGGTAAGAGTATGGGGGAAATTGAGGAAGCAGGGGGCCCAAGGCTCACGGATTTGGCCTCCACCGAGGTGACACAGGGCCACCCGCACAGACACATTCATGACTCTGCAGGGCCCAGACTGCCCGGCCACTGTCACCTCGCCCGGCCCCAGGACACCCAGGGGTGGCAGGGGCATGAAGAATCTCACTGGAAGAACAGAGCGCAGGGTACTCTGGTGGCCGCGGGGGGCTTCCAGAGATTTCACTCATTTATTCAGCAGTGTTGCTGAGTGCCCACCAAGGACTTGGGTCCAAGCTTTTCGCCTGGCGTAGCCTTTAGGTTCCACTGCGTGGCCCCATGCTATGTCACCTCTACCCCTTCCTCTCCGCTCTCTGAGGTGAGACCCCCTGGGTCACCTCAGAAAAGGCAGATTGCACTCCCAGAGCCAGACAGGCTTGCTGGCGAAGTGTGGGCAAACAAGGTGGGAGGGAGTAGAAAGAGAAAAATAAAGGAGGAAAAGGAGGTGAGAAGGGGACAGAAGAAACGGAAAAGAAAGCGAGAGAGATGCTGGAGGATCTGCAGGACAGGAAGAGCCTCACTACGGGGCCACCCACACCCGCTCGCTCCCACAGGACAGTCTGCCCCAGGCGCCTGGTTGGGTGCAGGTTGTTCATTCTGGATCTCATCTTTCATTGGCCTTTAACTCTGGCACGGAGTTGGGGGCAGAAGGGCAGGCGGTGGGGCTGCGGAGCGGGATCTGGGCCCTGCTGACCCATGTCCCCTCCTCCCCGCAGCGTACCTGGTGCAGGCCGTGAGAGCAGCGGGCAAGTGCGATGAGGTCTTTAAGGGCTTTTCAAACTGTTTGCTCAAGCTGGGCGAAAGCGTGGTCAACTACCCGCAGGGCCTGGATGACAAGACGAACATCAAGACCATGTGCACGTAAGTATCCTCCCTAGCCAGCTAGGCTCCCATTCTGGGGGCACTGCTGGGGTAGGAGATCCTCCCAGAGGAGAATTTGCCCATTCCCACCTCCTGGCTCCCACCCTGAGGCCTTGGCTGGGCCTCCACTGCCCAAGGGGATGCTGTAGCCTGGAGTGGGCAGAGGAGGGTTGTTCTGCTGTGGCCCAGTCCAACAGGGGCTTGCTCACCCTCCCAGCAGAAACCAGGGCGAGGGGCAGGGAGAACTGCTACCAATTTCTCCTTTTGGAGCAGTCTTCTTCAGTCTTCCTCAGTCTTTGCTTCTGAATGAGAGGCCCTCCCAGTACCCTACAAAGAATAATAATTTTGGTTTTGGGAAGGCATAGGTAATGATAAATTTGCCTAAAAGGAAAGTCTCGTCTATTTTGTCCATTTCCCCTGATCAAAACTCCCCTCAAGTACACATCAAGAAATCTGGAGTGCAGACTAGGGAGCACTGGGCCCCCTTCCTCCTTCTGGGAGAAAGGGTGAGAGAATATTTTGTTCCTTGCCAATGACTCTGCCCAAGAAGAACGTGTTCCGGGCATCCAGTGACTGCTGAGTTTATAGTAATTTGCTAGGTTTAGGCCCTCTGTGTTTTCTGTTTCCCTCCCTTGTTTGGTCTACATGTGTTAACAGGCCAGGGCCCTTAAGGGTCTAAGGAGGGCCATGAAAGAGTTCATGGCCAGGCTCAGTGATGTTTTAGCTGCTGCAAGCCCTAGAAATATACCTGGCCTCTGCAATAATACACACTATATTTTGTTTTTCAAAAACAGATGTGATACCTCTCTCCTTCATAATGACCCTTTCAATAAAGTCAAGGCTAGGGTATTCCTTGTACCCCAGAGGTTGGAGTGACCATTTGCTGTACCACCTTTTTTATACTGTGAAGTTCTCTCTAATTCTTGGGGACAAGGGATATATTTATTTAAATTACGAGTAATTAAACAGGGATCAATTTTGCTACACATTTTTGCAAATATCCAGATACCCACTAGGAGCCACAGCAGCTAAGTAGCTGGTACCTTCCTATCAGGAAAGGGACAAATGTTTGGGTCTGGGATGCATACCTACCTATTGTAATTCCAAGTTTCTGGTGCTAGGTAAGATTACATCTATACATCATAAAAGGTTAAATATAGACCAGCTCCCAAATGCTCCATCATTTGCCAGGACTTGGTTATTCCAAGTTATTTGATTGTTTTGTGTGTGCAAGATTTCCAGAAAAATGGAAATGAGGAAGGCCCCTCCCAGAGATCACAGATCACAGCTGGGTGGAAACTCCCACGGGGTTGGTGTACTGTGTGCTCCACAGCTCCTCTCAGTCCCTCCTAGACGCAGTCCTTCTCCGACTCTCTCCAGGAGGGTCTTGTTCCCATCTGGGAGTGCATAAAAAAGGAGGGATTTGGACTTCCTTTGGGAGGTGCAGTTATGCAGAGAACTCTTCCTCCACCTCTTAGGTTTCTCAAATCTTGCTATTTTTTTTTTCCAATTGAGGAACCTAAAAGTCCTACATCCCAGAGCCCCCAGTTCTTATAAATTAGAGACTCTGGAAGGTAATTAGAGAACACCATGGCCCAAGGCAATCCAACAAGCACTTTAACTTATTTGCCAGAAGATGGTATGGGAGTGGAAATGAGGATAAATCAGACATAGTGCCTGCCTTCAACGTGCTTACAGTCCAGGCTAGAAAGCAGAAGGAAGAGATAAGAGACAACACAATCAAACTGTGAGGTCTGCGGCACTGGTGATCTGGTCTCAGGGCCCCTTGAGGTGGAAGCCAGCGGGAGTTACTGAGACACACAGATCGACCTGCACTGAAAGGAGACAGCGCCCCAGGAATCGATCACGGGTTGGAATTATATTTAGGCTTGGGATCTATTTTGGGTTTTCAGAAGAAAGGGGGACAATAAAGAAGGACAGGATGGATGAAGGTTGTGGGGGCGGGGCTAGGAACTAAGTCCTGTGGGAAGAAGGCGCTGAGGGAGGTGCCAGGCTCCGGAAGAGGCGGGAAAGGAAGACGAGGAGCCAGGGGTCACCGAGGTTGGCGACGTGAGGCCCCGTGCCAGCCCTGGAGTCCTGCTTTGGGGGCTGGGCACCATCCTAAGTATCAAGTCCGAGGGGAAGACTGGGTGCCGGGAGAGAAGGAGTGAGGCCAAGTGCGCAAGGGGGAGCACAGAGGTTGGCAAAAAGTAGGCTTTGAAAGCTGGCCCCGGGAGCTCGGGAACCCACACTCCTTGACCAGGGAAAGGGCGAGGCAAGCCGAGCCTCCTGACAGAATCTGAGCTGGGGGACTGGGGAGCAACGCGAGGAGCCACGGAGGACCGGAGCAAGTGAGGATGGGGAAGCAGTGAGGAACTGAATGGAGGAAAACCGAGGGGAGATGGAAAGGAGGAAGACAAAGAAGGTTAGAGGGAAGAAAGGGAAAATAAAAGAATGGGAGACAAAAGGAAGGTAGCGGGGAGAAAGAGGGCGAGGGCCGGGGTGGGGTGGGGGTGGGCGAATAAGGCGGTGCCTGGAGGGAGAGAGACAGACGGGGTGGAGGGGTGGGAGGAGAAAGTGAGAAGCCCAGTGGGGAGGGCTGCGCCAGGAGCAAGTAACCCTTCTTGCAAGCTAAGAGGCATTAATGGGCGGCAGCTTGCAAGGCTTAGCACTGTTTTCCTAGCTTTCCCCGAGGAGGACGAGCAATCTGTTGGCGCAGGCCGAGGTGCCAGCTTGGCGCAGCCGGTGAGGCCCCGGCTCCTGGCTGCTGGGTCCCCGCCTGGCACCCGGGAGAGGGGAAGCCCTCTCCTCGGGCCGCAGCTGCTCTGGGTGGGCTGAGTCCCGCGAGGGCTGACCTCGCAGGACCCGGTGCCAGGGCGGTGGGGAGGAGGTAGGGAGGGGGCGCCTGCGGAGGCTGGTGGCGCCGAGAGCGCTGGGCGCGCTGGCACAGGCCCCGGTCCTCCCACGCGCCCCGAGTGAACCCGCTTCTTCTGTTTGTTCTGTTCCTCACCAGATACTGGGAGGATTTCCACAGCTGCACGGTCACAGCCCTTACGGATTGCCAGGAAGGGGCGAAAGATATATGGGATAAACTGAGAAAAGAATCCAAAAACCTCAACATCCAAGGCAGCTTATTCGAACTCTGCGGCAGCGGCAACGGGGCGGCAGGGTCCCTGCTCCCTGCGCTCCCAGTGCTCCTGGCGTCTCTCTCCGCAGCTTTAGCGACCTGGCTTTCCTTCTGACCGCGGGGCCGGCTCCCCCCTCGCCCACCCACACTCACTCCATGCTCCCGGAAACTGAAAGGAAGATCCATTCGTTCGTTGGGGACCCTGTGATTCTCTGTGATGCTGAACACACTCATATAGGATTGTGGGAAATCTCGATTCTCTTTTATTTCGTTTGATCTCTTGTATTTCATTTGCCAAATGTTACCAATCAGTGAGCAAGCGAGCACAGCCAGAACCGGACCTCAGCTTTAGTCCCTCTTCACATAAAAAAAATAAAAAAATAAAAAAGCAAGCAAGCAAGCAAGCAAGAAAGAAAATAACCAACCCACCCCATTTTTAAAATTTTTTTATTTTTTGGCAAAAGAATCTCAGGAATGGCCCTGGGCCACCTACTATACTATTCATGTTACTACATGACCAATGCCGGGCTCCTCCTTAGCCGGAAAGAGGAGAGGAGAAGGCCAGGGGAGTGATTCAGGAGAGATGTCCACAACGGAAGCATATGGTGAATAAGTCACGTTCGCATCTTTCTTCCACCATATCTTGTTTTGATCATTTCCACCGCACATTTCTCCTCAAGAAAAGTGAAAGGGCAGGTTGCTGGCTTTGCATTTTAAGGGTGAGAGGCAGAGAGGAAGAGAGCTGGGGACCTCTCGGGGTCCGGGTAAAGGCTGCCAGAAGTGCTGCTCCAGCCACTGAGAGGTTCAGCTTTACCTGCTGTTCCTGACACGCCTTTCCAAGTCCAAGCCTTTCTTTCCCTCCTCTCTTGTTTTCGCTGTTCCACACACAGTAATGCCCCAGTATCCACCGGTGTAGACCACAAGGGGGGAGTGTTCAATGTTAACCTAAAACATAGTTTAAAAAGAGTTTGACATAGAGAGCCTTGATTTTAAAAAGAGAGAGAGAGATGTAATTTAAAAAATTTATTATAAATTAAACTCAGCAAAAAAAAAGATTTGCTACACAAAGTATAGAGAAGTATAAAATAAAGTTATTGTTTGAAATGGGGGTGTTGTCTGTTTCCTGTCCCAAGCCCGCTTTCTAGGCAGAGTTCTCAGAGGCGCCTGCAGGGACCCATGAAGCCAGGTGATCCATTCACCCCTTCGCCCGCCACTCAATCACCCATTCATCTCAAGCAGACCCTCCCTCAACTCGGACATTGCTATTTCTCAGAAATCTCGTTTGCCCTAAGAAGAGAAATAATGAACTGGACAGCAGAGATCCTTTCTAGGTAAGTGTGGGCAAAGTGTGCGCGCTCCTCCGAGAAAGCGCGCGGACCGAGTGCCAGTGGCCGGACCTCGGCCCCTTCCCTGCGGGCCGGGCCCTGACCGCGATCGCCTCTTCCTTTGCGGCGGCCGGCGGCTCGCGAGGAACCGCCATTAAGGGCTCTCACCGAGGGGCCGGGAGGCTGTGGTCGCTGGCAGGGATCAGGTGAATCCTTTCATAATTAATATGACAGCTCAGCCGAAATGGCGAGGAGACAGGGCCCTATTGATCAGACAGCAGAGCTGCTTCCACCTCTCCTATTTATAGGCCCCGCTCGGCCTTGCCTAGAAGTAAACATTCGAGAGTGAAGGAACAGGAGCTGAGGACGCCGGGGCCGGGGCTGCGGGACTGCGGGACTGCGGGCTGGGCAGGGAGAACCCCATGCATGTCTGGATTCAATGAAATTGAAATCTGATTTTCTGGAGGAGAAGGTGCAGGTGGGAGGAGGCTGCGGGGTCCCCCGGGGTCCGGGGAGGGAGGGAGGGAAGTAGACGGTGGGAGGAGGCGGAGGGGGCTGCAGCGGGCTCCCGCGCCGTGGAGCCTGCGGGCCGCCGCCGGGAGGAGGGAGGGAGGGAGACTCTGAAATGCAATGCGTAAACAATCGCTAGCGCGAAAGTTCATAAATCACACCCCGTAGGTCACAGCCCAATCTGCATTCCCCCCACGGATTGAATTCCTGCAACACATGAGCCCCAGCGCCCGGAGCGCTGGAAGCCGCGCGGACTCCCAATGGCAGCATCCATCACCGCCCCGCACCACGCACGCGCCGCGCCCGTCCCCCCTCCCCCCGTCCCCCCTCCCCCCGTCCCCCAAGCAGCTCCCCCCGCTTCCCTCCTCCTTCCACCCCGATTCCTAGGCAAACCCAAAGGGGATCCACGCACCGGGAAACTGGTTGTTTTGATCGTTTCGTTGCAGTGATTATTTTCAGTATTTCCCGTCTAAGGATATAAATAGGACTATTCTAACCCCTGCGAAACCCTGTAAATCAAGCTAAAATGCTTGAGCCCGTTTTAAATACGAATTATTAAATGAGGGGGCGTAGAACGAGGAGAAAGAGGGAGGGTCATTTTTGCTCGAATAGCGAGCCGCTCCCCATGGGAATCTCTCCCTCCGCAAACCCGGGAGTGCCGGTGCGCACAGCGAGGCCCCGTGTTGGCCCAAGAAAAGGCGCGCACCGTTCCCCCTGGTTTCCAGGGGGTGGGGCGGGGAGGGCGGGATAGACGTCGGGGACCCTGGGAGGACGTCCCTTCCCTCCCAGCGTGATCTTCGCACCCAGAAATCAATCTCCTTCCACTCCAGCCTTGAGGCGGGGCTGAGGTGGGGCAGAGGCGACGAGGGGCGGGGATTGGGAGCGCCTCACCCCACAGGGTTCTTCTTCTGGAAGCCCTTCCTCCGGCGGCTCCTACCGCCTCCCAATTGGATAGCCCCACCTCTTCCAGGTCCTTCCACACCCCAACTCTGTCCAGGCCCAGATCTCCCGGGGGAGCCTGGAGAAAGCTAGGCGTCCTGCCGGGGCTCCCTCGCCCAGCCCTGTGCGGGGCCACGTTCTAGCGCTGGGAGGCAGCCCCAGGAGCGCTGCAGCCAGGATCAGAAATGCGGACGGAGAACTTTTCTTCTTGTGGTGATTGTTTTAGGTTATTATCGCCCCGTCTTCGGCTGTAATTTGCTGTTTAGTCATGATGACATCTCCATATGTTAGTTGATGTTATTGTTTTTAAGCAGCAAAGCAGTAAGCTCAGAGCAATATTAACCAGGTGAACATGTGCCATCACTGAGAAATTGGGGGGAGAA